GCTCCGTCCAGGTCACCAGCCCCCGAGGTCACCAGCCACTTGCTACTCGGCCAGGCGCCTTGACTCCTACCAGGCTATCACCACTAGCCACACCAGAGTCACCTGTCAAGTCTGGGTCGCCCGTCATCAATTGATCCATCGTGATGGATCGTCTCTCGGCCATGTCCCCTCACTCCACTCTGAGCGCCGCCTCGCCTGGTTTTGTCTCCCCCCCCTCCATGTCCTTGTCCATGTCCGGCCTGGCACCTGGACTTCCTCCGCCTCCTCTTCTTTCCCCAAGCTCAGGCTCGACTTGGACTTCGACTCGGACTTGGACTTCGACCTCGACCTCGACTTCGAGTCCAGTCAAACGGCCCTCGTACACGCGACATTCCCTCCCCGCTGCAGCCATGCCCGAATACCGCCACGTCCGGAGCGGCAGTCTGAACATCCCAAATGGCGCTGCCTCCAACACCTCGTCCTCCATGATGCCGCGAAGTCCTCCGAGTATGTGCCCGAGTTGCCATTTTTTTTATTTTTTATTTTTTATTTTGAGGCAAACCCGCCTTTTCCAATCCCGTGCTGCATCGCATCGCATTCCAGAGTCCCGCCCCCACCACCTCACCCTCTTTTATCGCCGCATCGCCGCATCACACCTCATCACCACGGGCCCCATCCCGTCATCCCGCTGTCGGGACAGCCTTTTGAATGATGACCAAGATAGAAGATTTCTGTGCTAATCAATATTCCTCAACCTGCTGCAGATACCTCTCACGTCCCCTGCAAGTTCTTTCGCCAAGGTGCCTGTCAAGCTGGCAATGCCTGTCCCTTCAGCCACGACCTCGGAGCTGCAGCTGAAAACATCTGCAAGTACTTTGCCAAGGTACGTCGCCAGCGTGAAGCTAAAGGTTCTACTGGTTTCCACGAGTCTAGACTCACCCAGGCTCCGTCTATCATTTCTATCATTTACCTTTTGCGGGCCAAGTTGGAATCACTCATGAAGCAAGCGCCGTAATCTCCATTCCTCTGCAAGCACTAACATACTTCCTCTCTAGGGCAACTGCAAATTCGGTCCCAAGTGCGCAAACATCCACGTCTTACCCGACGGTCGACGAATAAACTATGGTAAAACTGGCGTCACGATAGGTACAGCTCCCATCGGTCTTGCCGGTCGGGCCTCGCCCAACCCTGCGTCCCCGAATTCTGGGACCTCAACCGGTTATCATCAGTCGTCTGCCAGTGCCCTGACAACCTCGCTCTACGGCGCCGAGGCGTCTCCATGGGATGATCGCCAGGTTGCCAACCCTGCTCACCACCCCGGACACCAAGCCAGTCTCGACAATGGCATTCCCTCCATCGACTCTCCATATGGCCACTCCAACTACGGCTCACCTCGCGAGGATGATCCCACTCGCCTTGGCTTTGGGTTGTCTCCTGCAAATGGAAAAGGACTGTCCATCCTCGACGCTCCTCTACCCGCCTCTTTCGACTCCAATGGCATCTCCAACGCAGCCCGCTTCCCCGCCGCGCCGTGGCCGTCATCTGTGCCCTCAAAGTTCGGCCTCGAGTCCCCTACACCGTCGCTTAGCAATGCCAAAGACTCGCGAACCTCGGAGACGCTGAAGCTACTGCACACCTCGGCGTTTGGCTCTTCGGAGCACTTGACTCCAACCGCTAGTAGTCCGCCCAACTCTCAGTCTGCCATTGGCGATGAATATTTCGGCAAGCGAGCCATGCACTCGTCTAGATACGCCAAACCCCGCATGCTTAGTTCCAGCATGCCCAAGGCATCGTCAGTGGACCGTGACTGGGAGGCCGAGTTTGCCTTTGACGACGACAATTTACCCGAAAACTACGTTCCTGAGAACCTTCAAGAACTCTTGACGCCTGCTGAAAAGGCCAGGCGAGGCTCTAGCTCCATGCGCGATGAACACGCCATCGAAGCTCTCAAGTACGGTAGCCCAATGGGAACCAGCCCAAGCCGCTGGGGATCGCTGTTCCAGCGCCAAAAGGAGGAGGAAGACGCAGCCAGGGCAGCACGCAATGTTGGCTCAGCTTTTGGCCATGTCGGCAGCCCTTTGAGAAGGTCCACCTTGGCCCAGGAAATAGGAGACGACTACAAGAGCCCAGCGACATCCGGCCGTCTGTCCGCCGGCCGCTCTACGAGTGAGTCAATGTCAGTTCTCTCACAACAACTGCAGCGCAGCCGATTGGACGACGCCATCAGCGGCTCGAGTTCCAGCCCTCATCTGCATCCTACTACCGCACGACTGCCATCTAGTAGCCTTGCGCCGATTGGCAAAGATCGGGCCATGGAGCGTCATGTGTCTAGCGGAAGCATCAGCTCATCCGTCACTGGTCGCTTCACTACTCCGATTGACGAGGAGGACCCAGCATTCGTCTTCAGCATGGAAGAGGAAGATGACGCACCTACTGCGAGGATGCGCAAGCGAATCTCTGCCGGCCTGAGTATGGGTCCATTGGGCAGCTATGCCAGCGCAGTTGCAGGCAAGAACCAATCCAACAGCAATTCCAAGGAGAATAGAGATTCAGTGCCGGTCAACGGACGCTGATCCGCATCCCAAAACATTTTTTTTACTCAGGCGTTTCACGATTTTGATGCAACATGCATTAGTTATAGCGAATAGAAGTGGCCTGAAAGGTCCAAGCGGGGATTTTACGAAGCTGCATAACAATGGCATACATGCTTTACACGCTCTGAAGCAATTCGTCGGCAGCAAGCGGTACATGCACACACACACGCATTCCGAGCAACTTGACTAGCCAGGACGACAGGGGAAATAATGATGGGATACCAGCGCAAAAGAGCAGAGGCGTGAAAATAATGCAACGGAATAACATATCAAAGGTGCTTAAAATTTGAGTTTGGGATACAGGCGCGGTCGGTTTTTTTTTTATGTATTCCTGTCATTTGCTTCTAGTCACCATTGTTGGCTTGGCTTTGGTTGTCTACTTTTTTTTCTAGGTTGGTTTGATTTAAACACGCACTGGAATGGCCGCGTCGGACAAGATGCTCTTTTAGTCCTAGAGAAAGAGGTGTTTGACGGCCAACGGATCTAGCGCATACTGGACGGCATCATTGTGGTTATACACTTTCCTTTTCTTCTACTTTCTTTGCTACATTGTATCCATGGAGGCGACGCCAACCGCAATTGGCGTCATTTTATACCAAAGTTTGCTACATCTCCTCTTTGTTCTTGTATTATGCCTGTGTCCTATTTCTGTTTTGGAAAGAATGGGGTAGTTGCCAACGGTCAGACATGTGCATGTGTTGATCATGGGTGTCTCCGTGGCAGTGGTTGGCGCGGATCATACTGCTCGGGTGGTGGTAGGGTGAGGTGTATGAGTGACGATGGACGGTGGGTTTGTGTTGTGCTGTCTGTAACTGAGTGGAATAAAGAGAGCTATTTACCCCCCTGCAAAGGCTGCAAAGGGTCAAGTGTATGTTCTTTTTTGTAGATTTACGAGTCAACGTGCACGTCTGGCAACAAATCGCAGCAAGGGTCGGGCTCGCGGAGCAAAGTGTGCCCTAGTGCAACGCTGCCCTAGAGAAAGTCACGTCCAGCGCGGGGATCAGTGTAAAATAGAAAAAAAAAAGGCCGCTCTGTACCGCCGGCTGTTTGAGTCCAAGAAAATAGCCAGTTCGGCTAAGCGAAAAAAAAAAGCAAAAATGTATATTCCCTCTTTCTATAAAACAGTACATCCCCCGATTTTCCGTCCACCCATGAGCTGAGATAATAGTACAGAGATTGCGACATGCGATTAGTGAGCATCGGGTTGGCTGAGAATGTACTCGACTGCCTTGTCCACTGCGAAACCGTCAGTATGGGCGTTCCCCCGTATTTAGCCGTCGGGGCAGGTCAAGTACGCACCAGAGTGGATGGAGTCGGCGTCCTTGTCGGGGATCTCGATGCTGAACTCCTCCTCTATGGCCATGACTACTTCCACCGTGTCCAGGGAGTCGAGGCCCAGGTCGTTGGCGAAGTGGGCGGTCGGCTTGATCTGCAATGGATGTCAGTCTAGGAGGACGTTCGGGGGGTGGTCAGGTGCGTTTTCGTACGTTGGCAGTGTCGTTGACCTGGGCGGCTTAGCAGACGTTTTACCGGGGGGGGAAACAACGGGTGGGACAAGCAATACCTTGTCGAAGCCCTGCAGCAGGCTCATGATGCGCCCTTCTACCTCTTCCTTCTTCAGGCCGCTGGCGGCTGAGTACATTCTCACGGCGAGCATTTTGGGCACGGCGGCAGCTCGGGGGAGGGCGATGCGCGCGCTGAGCGGTGCGGCCACCAGCGGGCGAGCGGCGACGCGGGCGGTGCGGAGGAGGGCGGTGCGGAACATGGTCAATTGAATGATGGCTTGGGGGGGGGAGAGAAGAGCTGAGAGGTGACGTGGTGATAAATTTCTCGGTGTTTTTGGGGTACGGAGGTCGGGAGCTACGCCTTGGCTGGAGAACCTTGAAAAAAGAGGGTCACGTGAATGCTGGATTGGGGCGTCGCTGATTGGGCTGATGGATGTGCCTGGATTCTGGGGCGAATCGGTTCGGGGGTGTTGCAGGTGGGAATGGGGGCGGGGTTTACAAGGCTTGGGGAGTGTTTTTGATGGCTTTTTTCTTTTGGCATAGCAAAGATGGTGTGTGTAGTGAGACGTAAGTTGGGTACTAAGTGGTGAAATGCGTGATGTTGTTGGATTTGGAAGATTCGGGCAAGTTTTTGGCGGTGAACTTCATATTTCTGTGGTATTGTGTGAACTGAATGTGTGTCGAAAATGGAGGTAAATATCTCGAAGCTGTCGCGGCGGCTGATCTAAGTTGTAAAAATGTGATAAGACATGGATATGACTAAACGGCGTTAAACATGGTACGGCAGCATCACATTAGACACTTGATATGGGGAAAATGCTAATCTTATGTACAACTTTTTCTACCGCCCAGCCAGGCCCTCCCCAGATACTTCTACATGAACAAAGGGAACGTGGAAATAACGCTATCAATTGTGGTTAAATTATCGGTAGGGCGCATCCGCGCGAATGGCAGCCGCCAGCTCAGGCTCCCACTTATCTCCGTTGGACAAAAGCTTCTCTACAGAGAAAAAAGGTCAGCAAACTAGCCACACGGTATGCATGTGCTGAGTTATTTATCGTACCCTTGTTGTAGAGCAACTCTTCTCTCGTTTCGGTGGCATATTCGGCGTTGGGGCTCTCCACAATAGCGTCAACGGGGCACGATTCCTGGCAGAAGCCGCAGTAGATGCACTTGGTCATGTCGATGTCGTAGCGGGTTGTTCGGCGGGATCCATCGGCACGCTCTTCAGCCTCAATGGTGATGGCCTGGGCAGGGCAGATCTACAATCCGTTAGTTTCTAATGAACTCGAGAGATCCAGGCGCAGTCATCTATTTATAGATACGTACAGCTTCGCAGAGCTTGCAGGCGATACAGCGCTCTTCGCCAGAAGGATACCGTCTGAGGGCATGCTCTCCACGGAATCGGGGGGAAATGGGTCCCTGCATCGTGTTAATCGAAACCGTCACCATGCCTAGACGGGTAGTGCTGTCCAAGTAATTCTCATCATACCTTTTCGAAGGGATAGTAGATGGTGTATCTGCCCGCCGTCCGTTAGCTTTACAAAAAATGATGACAATTCGAGCCTTGGAGACTCATGTCTCAAGGACAATCCACATACGGAGGTCGGAAGAACTGTTCCATCAGGACGTACATGCCTCTCGCCATCTCGGTCAAGAGGAAGTACTTGCCCAGTCGGTCCAGCGTCTTCTCCTTGTCCCACGGCCACTCGGTGTGCCTGCTCGTGCGGAAGTTTTTGGGAGGCGGGCCCGCCGGGGTAGCGTATCCTCGCGTCTGGAGTTGCTGCGCGGCCATGAGCCGGCTGGCCACGACTGCCAGCGAGCTGGTGATGCTCGGAGCTCCGGCGAGCTGTCGTCGCGCGAGCATGGCCGCAGAGGCATGCAGAGCCGGCGCCATAGGGTGCACAAGATCAACGTTGACGGCCTTGGTCGGCAATTCGACGAGGCAGAATTGGGGTGTTGCCAACTTGGAGGAGAGAAGTTGGGTGGCGATTAGGGAAACGGCCCGACGACGAACGGTTTGATGTGATGGATTTCTTTGCTCGACTTGGGAGGGCTCATTACTGCGGGATTACATTGTTCGGGATGTGATTGGTGGATGTGGTGCGCGTGACTACCCACGTGACTACCATGAGGTGTAGGAGTACGTATTGAGACGTCGGGACTCGGGAGACGATGCCGGAGTGAGGACCAACTGCCGACAGGACAGTAGAGCATTTGAAGGACTGTCCATGGCAGTGGAAAATTTTTTCTCTCAGTTATTACTCTCCTAGTTATTCATTTAGCGTCGCTTGGAGCTATTTTCACACCGCAGGCAAATAACCATGTCTTGACGCTTAATTTCGCAAAGTCTTTGCGTATCAAAAGCTCCGCTCTCCGATCAATCTATGTCTGCTCTCTATTTCTTTGCTTATAAGAATATTCATGTTCATCAAAAACGCCTCTTCTTAATCCTCTAAATTATGGAGGACTTGGCGGAAACCTTACATCTGTGTCCCAGGAAGCTATTATTGAGGGAGTCAAGCAACCTAGGGTAGTTTGGTTGCTTGCTCCCCTGCCCGGTCTATAGGGCAGTCTTTCAAATATCCGCTGATACAATAATCAGTACGTGTTGAACGAGAGGGGTAGAGAATATAGAACAACGAAGAATTTACGCGATACAAACATCATACAATAGCTTGGAAGAAAGACTCCCTCCTCACATACTCTTCATGGTGGTGGGGGACCCCTCGAGATTGAGAAATTCTGCCACAACATCGCTGTCATGCAAGTGAACCTTTTTTGTGCAACAGAAAGTCAGGCCCAGATATCCAGCGATCCAGCTGATAAATGTAAGCGTGGTTACATATATGTGGACGAGATATGAAGCTGAAAAGCCATTGTCTGCACCTTGCAAAGATTTTGATTGCTATTTGAGATGTGCAAATGCAAGAGATATCTAGTGGACACGGCATGTGCAAACCGTGCAAACCTCAAGGTTCAGTGTCATCAAGTTTCTATCAACTGCCTTAACAGTACGATATGCGGCTACGCTGACTATAAATAATGCAAAATAAAAAGAAAATGCAATCGCAACAAAACAGACCTCTAAATCGCCAGCCAACGCAAAGCAAACCCCAAGAACGCTTTTGCACTCAAACTCCGGCTCCCATCGTGAACATCTTGATAGTAAAAAGGGCAAGCCAATTGTCATTTTCGATAAATGGAAACGAAATCTGCGTCAAAGAGACACGCGTCTGTTAAGTGGAAGCGGGAGCGTACTTCACCCAAGTTCTCCAAAATACTCCCATGTTGGCTGCCACCACCAGATCAAGCATTTTCCAGCCGTCCCCATGGATAGTTAACGTGGCCAGCTTTGCTTGCTCGCCATTTAGACCGCCGCCGGCTCGTTCAGCCCCGAGGTTAGTGAAGGACGGCTCATGGCTCGAGTCAGAGGGAATTATACTGTGTCTCGGTTTGCTGCAGCAGAATGCTAACTTTGCAAATACTCCCGTGGATCCCTTAGCTTGGTCCGGTGACAGCGCAAGATTGTAACTCAGCTCACTGATCAGTCCACCTGTGGATTCCGAGTGGCTAGTTTTGACCAAGGAATTGGTGTGGATGGCAGTCGGCGGGGGACGAGTGTGAAAACACTCGAGCCTCTTTCCAGATGTCCCCGTTGCGAAGTGACATTGGCCCCCCCATGGGCTGACAAATGTGTATCCGCGGGCTTTCATGCCTTCTGGCGGCGATCCAGATGTACAAGTAGTGTCTGGCTTCACAGCAGTGTCACTTTTGTACGACGATACCGACGCAGCGCTATCGCTTCTGTCACGCGTCATCTTCTTCGCATTCGTCAACCAAGAATTGGAGTAGTTCATGACGATTTGACGATGGAAGACCTCGTAGTTTGCTTTTAAGCCACCGCTATCCGTTGAGCTATGTTTCTTGACACGCCGCTCGCGAAATGGGACGTATCCAGATGCTAGTATGTCAATGTCCATTGGGGGGTATTGCATTGAACTTGTGGCCGACGTTGAAGCCTTCTCGGCATCCCCTGAAGACGATTCTACCTGGTGCAGCTTAATATATCCAACTAACCACTGCTCTTTGCTGCCGGGAACTTTTCGGCTCAACTCCAGTGTGAGAGGCATACCAGTAGAAGCTGTGCTGTGCTTCCGTGGAGACGGAGATCTGCTATGGGCTTGCGAGATGGGCTGTGAAGGTGAAGGGGAAATTTGATTGCTAGTGTTAGTAGGTGGTGGAGATGTATCCGGCCGAGGCACTGGGATTGAATTGATGTAGTGCGTTTGCGCATTCCCAGCAGGCTCCTGCGGACTGGAAGAGTCTTTTGGTACGATAAGTTGGGAAGCCGATGTTTCGGTTGATGTCCTAGGCAAAGACTGGGATCCAACGGGCTTTTTCGCCGTCATGCCCGTGTGCAATCCAAAGGCAGTCCGTTCTGGGGCTTTTGTTGCAGAGGGCTGGTGGCTTTGACTTGCACTTGGCGAGCTATCGGGGGTCGATGGACGGTCCGAGCCAGGAACAGGTCTTCGACGGATCGTCTTGGTCTCGGTCGACGAGCGACTCTCCTGGCTAGAACGGTATGCAGCCTCATGTCGTGCTGGCTCAGGGTTAGGCTCGCACAATTTCACTATATACAGAGCGCTTCCGACATCCACGCCCGAGACGATCTCCTCTCGTGGTTCAAGGGGTGTGAGAATGACAGCTGCGCTTGAACATCAGCTATGAAGCAGGGATGGTATCTCTGGAGGATGAAAAGACTACCTTTGGAGTCGGAACCCACCACACGTGAGATGTACAAATTGAGGGGCTTCCGCTTCTGAGTTCCTTCAAGGTATGATGGTGGTCTGTTTGCAATATCGTTGATGTCGCTTAAATTCTTGGCCTCGATGGCGTTGCCCATGGCGTTGTCCGCCCGTGAGCTAGTAAGGGCTGGCGAAGACGTAGACGGGATTGCAAGACTATCGTGATGTTGTGAGTTGGATGCGCTGACGCTAGGAAGGTACGCGTTCGCGGAGTCGGGGTTGTTCAAATCACAGCTGTTGCGTGGCCGGAGAGAGGGTGATGGCGACGGCGTTGCGCTTTTAAAGACGACGAGGAATACGGAAGGGTCTAGGAAAACAAACAGACGCAGAATTGTGTACGTCACAGGCACAAGGAGGAAAAACAAATACAAAGAAAAAAAGTAAAAAGCCAAAGAAAAGAAACACGACCACCAAAGACTATTGTACCAGGCTCGTGACCACGAGGAAAGGAAAAAAAAAAACAAAAGCTCGCCTCGTGCAAAGCAGATCAATGCAAACTGGTTCAGAGTCATTGTTTGCTCCCGCCACATGCAGGAAATTGATTCATTGCCAGGGGCCCAAGAGTGGGTGCTGCGGTGCTGCTTACGTCACTGTCATTCTGCCAACCCCAGACAGCAGGTGCTTCTTGTGCGCTCCTTCCCTCAGCGCACTACGTTAGTACGCGAGGCAACATTGAAAACACACAAAAATGCAAAACAGCAAAGCGACAAAGCATCAAAGCAATCCTCATTTCTATGCTGAATTTCTGTGTGTCTCGCATGTGCCATCCTTTCACACCATGACCGAACGCGACGTTAGAGTGTGAAAGAGAAGAAAGAAAACACGACACATCAATTGGCCGAACTGCCGAACTGCCGAGTGCCTTAGCTGCAGTTCTGCGGTGAGCGAGCCAAAGACTCGACGCCATGCACCAAGCTTCCTCGACTTAACCTGACACTGTACTCCGTAGTGTTCCACATTGGAGTCCAGGGACCCCGAGGTTGACGAGTGGAGGCATGGCAAAAGCTCAACGTCAGCTTCTGGGGCTGTGCTAGCTAGCCAGCCAACCCAACACAAGTTCCGGCCGACATGTTGTTGACGCTCGTGACGCTTTATTCATGTCTGTGCTACCGTACCGCAGCCAACATTAAACGAATCGAGTTCACATTGTGCTGCCGAGTACCGAGTACGCAGTAGTACCACGCATATTAATAGATCCCCATGCTGGTAGCGACTCAAGTTTCTTATTCTGTCCATGGTCCTAACAATAGATCGACACTCGATCCCATGACATTGATTCGCGGCGACACTGGCTCTGCTCTACAGTCTCTGCTCTACAGTCCAGCATCGACTCATCGCATGATATCAAGTCATTGCGTAATCCCTGCTTGACTGCCTGGACCACAACCTGCTGTACCCACTCATTTCTTCATGCGACCTCGGATTCGCAACGTGGCAACGGCCTTGGATCTGCAGGGTCCTACGCCATGGAGCTTTGACAACAGAGCAATCTATGCTGTAACCTGGGCCGTTCGTCTATAGCGAACGGGTGACCTCAAATTAGTCATCATGCCGTCCTTCGGGACGGGGGATACCCCAGATTCGGCCTCTCCCACTTTGCTTGTTTCCTGACCCGCCAACGAGGCCGTCGTCGTTGCAAAGTGGCTCCCTGTCAAGACGAATCGAAAGATTTCTTGCTTTGCCTTGACGCTGAGCACATGAAGTTTTCCTAGCTGTCAAAGTACCTGCATAAAATGAAACCCACATCCACCTGTTAGGTCCTTTTCATCACATTCACATTCGATTTCTCTCAGAGGCACACTTTGGTGGAGCAGAGGCGGCTGCAGGCACACATCTGGAGAAGGGAGCGAGTCAAAGACATATTTGTACAGACGATATAGCTATTGCATTGCATTTCCGTCGTTATCTCGCTGTTCAGCCCGTAAATTTCATCATGGCTTGTTTCGTACCATATGAAGGTTATCTAGACTTGAGAAGCGCGATTATCCTTATGCCAATACTGTCATGTCATTTGTATAAAATCCTCGCAATGGGGATCTTTCGGCAGTGTTGAATTGAAAGCTCTCACTTTAGCCCCCTTACACACACGGATGATGCTACTGTTTTCTCTCAAGCATTTGATAGACGAAACTAGTTGAGCTGGCTCCCACGAACAGTATACACCGACAAAAACCCGCTGACCAGAAGTTTCATCAGACTGCGTCTACTTGGCCAAAGGCGTCGCAACCGTAATGTACGACGTCTTCCCACAACCCGAAGGACAATGCCCGCCGCACTCATACGCCGTCCGGCTCGTCGCAGGCGGGTTAGGACATCCATGCCCAACGGTAACATACTCGGTCGACACGCAGTCCAGAGTGCGGCAAGTAGAGCAAACCACCCCGGTGGATGAGACGGTTCCGCAGGAGGGCCTGGGCGAGACAGCTCTCGGCGCCTCAGTGACGCGGGCGGGAGGAGACACAAATTCGTAGGAAGTGGACTCACATCCACCTGGACACTTGGTCTCGGCGCAGGAGTACGCCGTGGTGGTAGTTGGCACAGGAGATGGGCAGTCGGAGAAGAGGGTGATTGTCTCGATGGCGAGGCATGCTAGTTGGCGGCAGGTGCTGCAGACCGTGGCCGTGGACGTGACGGATTTGCAGTGCGCCTCTGTGTCTGCCCCGAGAGACACTCTGTCTTTGCTTAACGATGTTTCCACGTTTTCATCTGTGGTGTGAAGGAACCTACCCGGTGAGAAGGAACATGGCAGCGGTGAAGAAGCGCATTTTTGATGCTGCGAAGGCGATGTGAAAACAGGAAGCTTTGGTGTGTTGCCTGGTTGCAGATTCACTTGGTGGTATTTTTTGGTTCAGACGAGAAGCCAGCCTTTTGTACCTTGAAGACGGCTCCGTCTATTCACACATGGTTACGCCAAGAAACGGGCGTCGTCTGATAGGACGCAAGTAATATCCCGTATAACGTCAGAGGGTATGCGTAAAGGCTGGGCTGGATACATCCCGACTGGATGCACGGTTTGAGAACATGATCAGACGAGTGGCGATTGGTGGACAGATGAAGGTTGAGCTTCGAATAGAGCTGCTTCCTGTGAATGCCGTATTTCGTATGCTTTGTTAAGGCTGCTTATGATGTAGGAGGCTGTGTTGGGCGTTATGATGGAATGTGAGTTGGGGTCGGAATTTGGATAGCTGGCAACGAAAAACAAATAACTGTACATACTCGAAGACCGGGATATGACTCTGTGTGTGACGCGATACTAAATGGTGTAAGCACGGTAGATGGCAGAAAAAGGCAAACCTTTACTGGCAGAAGCTGCACGTACCTAGAGTGCAGCGACGCGATACTCTTAGTTTGGACCATCCGTTAAAGCCCAACTCATTTGCAGAGCGAGAGTGACGAATTCGTACTTTCGAATACTTCGTGCCACTGACACAATCAGACGTCGATGCTTACGCTCAGCTTTGGCCTGCCAAGCCTGATCGGCAGAAATAACCTTAACCGGGCAAAGTAGAGTCTGCACCAAGACCTGTCATCTCGCAATTTCGGAGGTCGACTTGCTTCCGGGCTGTGCTTGATCAGGGTTGCAGAACTAAAGAGAAGTTGTGTTGTGAGTTGCATGCGTCATTGTCTGAGGGTTGGGTGCGTGACGTTGCCTGCATGGCCGTAACTTGGACGGTTGTCCGTATTGCCACGAGTCTGTCAGTTGTTCTTCTTGCCTTAGATTTTCATCTTTCCAAGTTGTCTTATTCAGATGGTTTCAACTTTTCACAAGTCTTTTATATGAATGCGTCTTCCGTGATTTCAGCAAGTGTTGGGGACTGAACTTGGAAAACACTTGCTGGGCTCTGAACGAGTTAGTGGCCGACCAAGACCCGTGACATGGCAGAAACTGCAAAAGTTGCTACATACACGGCGGATAGCTGTACACTTGTTGTGCGCAGAGAGTGAACATGATGTGGTTAGTTGGCGATCTGGAACATGAGCGGCGGCTGGACTGACTACATGCCCGCTTCACCGATCGCTTAACCTGAGTTGAATAAACAAGGACTGATCACAGATGGAAGGACTCTGCTCTTGCAGACATCTTGAACTATTTAATAACGCTGGTATCTTCGTTTTTGAATCCTGGTTTCTGCACCTTGCATCTTTTTCTTGACAGGAACTAAGCCAACTCTTAACAGCAACCAAGTCGAATCTCAACGGAAACTAAGCAAATTTCAGAGCCTTTGCTACACCCAACACCACTCAATTCTGCCAGCAAACCCGCTTAATCCTCAACGACTTTTCATCGAGGGACAAGATGAGCGACGATCTCGTGCCTTGCTCAAAAGTGGTTTTGCGTTTCGTTTTGACTGTCTGGTGCGCCGTTCTCTTTAGTTTCGCATTGGCTCTTGGCATCATGGGAAATCATCTCGCACTCATCTGCTTCTTACCCGCAGTACGTCACACTCCTTAGGGTATCATACGTGGACAGAGACTGACCTTTTCAGACTATCGTCTGTTTTCTTTGGAACCTGTTCATTTTTACGATGATCCGCTTCTTTGGTCGCGAGCCATCCCTCTCCCTTCGACGTCTCGTCGATGGCTTGATCTTGATCGCGATGGTCGCGCTCATCATCGTCTTTGCAATTCGGAACGACGGTACAGGTGACATGACCCTGATTATTGTTACTCCCCTTTTTGCAAGCTCCGTAGCGTAAGAACCCTCCCGTTCCTTCACATTTCTTATTGTCAGAAAATGCTCACTGAAATAACAACTTTAGAGTGATGACGTTCGTTCTGATTCTGATTGGAGATGGAATCGCTCCCGCGATGTTCGCAGCAATTAGACGATTATTCGGATGTGGAAGGGCTCGCTGAAATCTGAGCGGCCTTTCGGGTTTGGATGGATCATTTGATTTGGCCATGAGCTTCTAGAATAACGGGCAGGGTTTCCTTCTTCCTGGTTCATCAATTTAACAGGAATATATTTTGCGACGGAATCATTATCTTGACTTGAAGAGGCCCATGGAAGTTCTTGCGTGAATCTATAGACTCGTAGCGCGATATACCGGCATGCTTTGGTGACGGGACCGCTCGTAGAAACAAATGGGCAACTGCCTCATGATAGACTGTGTCTCTGAAAACTAGGTGCCAAGGCAGTGACTCTCAGTGCAAGTAGGTTCAGGAGAATGGAGGGGGGTGTCCTCGGGTTTCTTACTAGTTAGTGTTTTAATCATTGCAACGTGCTACTTGTTGGTTTAGTGATGCGAGGTCAAGCCATCCGCGACATAGCCGTAGCTGCTTCCTCTACTTATGTATTCACAGGCACAGGGTACGTTGCTTTGATTTCCCACTATTGAGTTGGTCGGTTGAATTTCTTTGCCCTCTTGTCGAAGGTTGATCATCAATCGACATGGCTGTTTGCTGACACTGGCAGGTGACTCTTGGTCATGTGGCCTGTCTCGCTGCAGTCGCGCGGAAGAGGACAATCATAGCATGAAACGGCAATCATGTCAAAGCGAATGATGGGCATTGCGGTGTTGGCATCTAAAAGATGAAACCTGGTACAAAGCGTACCATGTTCTCCTTGTGTTGGGCAATAAACGCCTAGTAATTTGTGTATAGCACCTCTGAGATCCAATCTTTTCATCAAAAGGGGTATGACTTTGGTAAGTTGTAGAAAAAGCTCACAAACCTTTGGCTTTTCTCGAACTTCAGCCTTACAATCGAGTTTCTTCATATGCAGTACAAGGAAACGTGGCAAAGCGTTGTCTCAGACACTTGAATGGCACAAGGGGCGCTTTCATTCTATGAGATATGAAAGAGGTTCAAAAGATCTTCATACTACAAACGAGTCTTAGCTGCTGAAGATTCCTTGCAATCAAACAGCTTGGTGAAAGAAATTTTTTAGCTGGATTACAAAGAACAGCAATCTCATAGACGCTCAATGCACCAAGGAGCCCCTGAAGACCTCATCTCACCATTAAAAAGAGTCATCAGCAGATCGTTCACTGCTCACCATCCAAATGACATCCTTCTTGTAATTCATATCTTTCAATTTGAGAAGCTCAGCTCTCCACCACCACGCAGGCTACCATGGAGACCAGTATTGGAGACGCTGAACGTTCAGCTCCTGACGTCAATCGACCGACAACGGCGTCGGACCTGAACCGGCTCAAACCGGAGGCAGCACAGTACCGTGGTACTCAGGGTTCTTTTGGCTTTTGGCGAAATTCACGTCCTGATGCCAATCAACTGGCAGCCGCGTTGGACCTGAAGCGGCCTGGCACGGAAGCAATACAGCATCCTGTTACCCAGGGTTCCTTTACCAATCGGGAAAGTCCATATGCCGAAAGCTATCAACGGGAAACATTGCCAGATATCGTGTCGCCTATCGAAGCCAGTGACCTGGCATGGGCGCCGGATAACATGCCTTCTGAACCGCCACACGACTCCACCAGTATGCCAACTTCTGATACGCAGGATTCTATTAATTCTATGATGAAGGGTCAAGGTTCTTTTGGTCCTTTGCCACGTCCTAATCCCACTACCTGTGAAGTGAAATTCGCGCCGGACATGATGGCAACACAGGGTTTTTTTACCGATTCGGAAATCCCATATCCCAGTGCCTATGAATTGGAAGTGGCTTCCAAGAAGGGTCTTTGTGCTTTCATCTCGAAGATTTTTCGCTGTGGATAAGAGTGAGTTTTAACTTTGACTCCATCAAGCTCATTTGACTACTCCTTTTGTCTGGGCAACGGGGAGCGATGCGTACCCGGGTATTTGACCCCCTTTCCTGGTGTTCCGCCCCGCAAATACTAATGAAATACTTCTTGCCAGGGATCATGATACGTGATCCGGAATTCCGGAATTCCGTTTGACGAGATGAGAATGTTCGAGAGTTTGTCATGTTGTAAAGCAGCACACCTTGATGGTGGTGCTAGGCAACGAGGTGAATGGGGTTGGAGATGAATGAAGCCCAAGGCAGGATGGATGGCTAGCGCCAGTGAATTGCGATGGTATCACCAGATAGGAAGAGGAAATCACCTATGAGCTTGTGGTAAACTATGAAAAGTGCCGTCATTTCTACCTGTGAGGGCATTCATTCGTCTTTCGCTGTACCGGTGCGGGAACAAACCACTGTGCTTCGTGACTCAGAAACCTTGGGCCCATTGTCAGCCTTCAGCGGAAACAGACTGCATACTACTCCATAGGCCTCGAGGATGGTCTTTGTAGTATCATCCCTCTGTGTGCCGCCCCAAGCATCAATGATGCGGACCTCACTATGCATATCGATGTTGCTAGCATCAGCCTTGGCACCGCTTCAGATGCTGCCAGCTCCATGTAGCGCCTCCGAAATTCCCTGTGCCTGCTCTTCCCATTGTATATTTGTTGCTGGTGGTGTCAATTTTGGGACAGCAGTGCGGAAGATGAGACGTATGGAAAAAAGTATACAAATGCGCGTTTCATTTCGTGCCTTGATATTCTATGAACCTCCCGACATTTCGACTACATAAAGATCACGCTTTTGCTTTGTGAGCTGCCACCACCTCGCGAATCACCTGGTCAAGGTTCTCATCTTGCAGACCCAGCAGCTCCATGGCAAATCCGTCCTTGCGTGTCCAGTCGGCGTCAACAGTACCTAAAACGAATACAATCTCCTCGGTAGCTTCCTCATCACCCGCTTCCAGGCGCTTGCTTTCGCGTTCCAGGAAAGCATTCGAGTCCAAGTGCTGGGTGTGCCACCTGTTGCCCGTGGCGCGCTCGAGTGATGCCAGGATTTCGAGCTGCGTCGTGCAGAAGCTCTGGACGTAGACGGCGCGGTTACGGGTAGCTTCGTGACGCTGCAGAACGCGAACGACCGACTCGCCGACACGACGAAGAGTAGAGGCCGAGGCCTTGATATCACCGGCGTCCAGGATTTGGGCCTTTTCGGAGTCAAGGTTGAAATGAAGCAAGCCACTTCGAAGGCCGTAGTCGAAAAAATGGCCGCAGATGATGGAGGTCCATGTGAATGGACGCGCGCCAGTCTGGTCCTCGGCTGCCATCCGAGCAAGCTCTTCGCACCTTACGCGCACGGCGGTCTTGTCGCGGTACAGCTTCAAATGGTGTTGTGCCTGGGGACTGGCGGCATCGCAGCTGCCATAGTCTGCCGGGATATAGCGACGGACGCCGGCGTGGAAGGCCGCCTCCACGAGCCGAAGGTGCTCCGAGACGTCCTTTAGCGGGAAGGCAGCGACGACGGCATCTTGTCCCGAGAGGGCCCTGGTAAGCTCTTGGACGTCAAGGGCGGGGGAAATGGGTATCTCGGTGACACCAGCTCGCGAGGCGGAGGATGAATTGGTGCGGCGGAGAATGGAAACAGCAAAGCAACCGGCTTGGACAAGCTCCCTGGTTATGACGGAACCTACTGTTCCGTTGGCGCCGATGAGGCAGACTTTCTTGATTGGAGGTGAAGATGCCATGTTACGACGAGGTGTGAGCGTCGAGATGTGCCGGTGGGCGTGGACGACGTCGCTGGAACCAGATGCTGGAAGTTGGAACCCGCGGTGGCTTCTGTTTATGGGCCACACGGTGAATTTGCACAACTTGGTACTCGGTGCAGCGTGAGCCGATTGGAAGCCAGTGGCATGCATGCAAGAAGTCTGGTCGAAATGATAAGCCGCTGGCCGTCGTCTGCCGTTGTCGGCCGTTGTCGTGTGCAAGCCATTGGTCGGGTCGGGGGAGTTGAAGCATCACGTAAGCAACTTGACGAGGCAGGAGCTACCGTCCGGCCTTCCTGCTCCTTCCCCCAACAACTAGGAGGCGGCACGCAACCATAGGCAGGTTTATATATATGCCTACCCCGATCTATTAAACACACCGTTTTCGCTTGAAGTTGTTGACTTTTACTTTGCTCTAGCTAAGCTCTTTTGTCTTATTTTCACGACTTGATAAAGTGCAGTAGCTAAATATCCCCAGAGTATTAACTAGTAACTAGAGTTATTCACTTCCATTTATAATTAAGGGCTTTTTTTGTGGTCTTTTGATATATTCAAATAATTATACAAGCAGCAGGTAAGCCATTATTAACTTTCAAATAATTGTTCACTTATCTAAAGAGTCTTACAAGTAGTATGTAAACTAAGGCCCTGTGAAAAACACAAGATGGCTGGCAGTACCCAAGCTAAAGAACCGTGACAAACCACCTAATCACCTCCACGTATACCAATCAATATAGAATACTTAAAGTGCTAGCTTGAGTAGACTCTAATATATTATAAATCATCAGAGTATCATTGATATATCTTTGGTCGGGTTTCTCCATGATCCAAAGGATCAAGCCCTTGAAATAGCCAACAACGCCAAGTCCTGGACATTGGCTTGGTGAAACTGGCTGCATTTTATAGCCACCATATACATATTCCTTGCCACGGAATGCGTAATCTACAATATCCTCATTGCCACGACGGCAAACTCTCACCGCAAAGATACTATCCTAGTACTGAAAAGCAGCAATGAATAACTGGCGTCAAAACGAACCAAGTATACTCGTAATAGTTGACCATCCTATTTCCATCCCCACTTGATATCCCATCCCCCACCTATTTCGGTTGGCTTGAAGTGGTTTTGATCTTTACACTTTGTCTGTTGTTGATAGGGCCTTTGAATCAATCCATGTCCCGCCCCGGGCGTCGAAGTGATTGGGAATTTGATGTAGATTTCGCTTCTTGGCATGTCAGCACACGATGGCTTCCCCACAAAGTCTTGAATAAACCCCGTATTGGCCTCAATACCATCGTAGTTCTCGTGAGGTAGAGTCCACACGCCAATCTCTATCGCCTTTTTCGTCACCGTATCAATGACAGATCCGGCCCACGTGTGGCATTCGACCCGGCCCGTGCAATAGGGGTACTTTTTCCGAACAGCAAGATTGTAAGCGTGCGGGTAGTGCCCCTCGTATACCACGGCGCAGCTCATGCCCGTAGGAGGCTCGGGGCTATCGGTATCGGCACCGGCGTGGCAGTTGGGGTGCGATGAGTTGGTATCAGATGCAAATGAGGAGAAGACTGCGCGGATTCTGCTTCGGCCCTCAACGTCAGGCTGAGGCTGAAGCCCTATATAGCCCATGTGGCCAAGTGTCTTTTGAGTAGAGTTTTGCGTTCCGAAGGTGAACTGATATGCAAGAAAGTACTGCTTGGTATGTTGCGCTTTGGCAAGGCTGACTGGAAATGTAACGTCATCGAGCGTTCTGCTAGGAGGGAGACTTGGAAATGACCATTCAAAATGGCTGAGCGCTTGGCAAACCGCTGGCGCCAGAATGCTAAGGCCTAGTAGCTTCATTTTCCAAGCGAAGTCGAGTAGGTAGGGAATCTGATGCCAAGAACTTTAGTCTTGATGAATGTGTTTGAAAAGCACATATAACTACGTGTCAACAAGCACTTTGCACCCCGAACATACATTGATGCCCTATAAATAATCTCAGAGAAAGTCGCGTCCTTTAGTTGACCATGATCATCGTCGTATACAGCCACTCTACAGCGTTGTCAAGATATCCACCTCATATTATATATGACGCGGATATGTATATACGGGCTGGCTTTTTATTGGCTGCTTTTACGCGCCAATTCAACACAGTTCCAGCTGATAAACACGCGCGGACATCTAGTGGTCATTCAATCCAGAGCTAAAATATCCTACAGCGTAAAATCTCATAGAAACCAGGGTAAACACCTCAGCCTCTAATCCAAATCAATCTCTTGAACCGTATTTAGTTAAGCTTATTTATTCAATTACTACTATAATTTAGCTCCCAGCCATCCCAGTCGCTTATCTCGCCATCTCCCCGTTTGACCGTCAAAAACCGAGCGCCAAGCAAACTTTGAACGATATGGGTCGGTTGATATAGTTGCATCTCGTAGCGGCCATCTCGAAAAGGTAAACAAAGAATTGAATAGCAGTGGCGGGTAAAAACAAATGTGATGGCATACCTCTCAGGCACTCGTTGTGCTGACTGTCACTCATACGCGCCCAAGACCAGCCGCAAGAGCCCCAAAAAAGATATTCTGGAATTCCAAATAATCCAAGATTAACGGAGAATGTAGATAATCTTTGATTGAAACCTCTCCGTCGCCGTGAGACATATATGCATGGCTTACTCGCGTCCCGGCCTGAGCCGAGACTTCCAAGACTCAGGCTAGACACAGATCCAATGACTACCACACAACAGCTCTGGCACGTGTCGGCAGGTTAATACGAGGAGAAAGGGGCTTCAATTATATCGATTCATCTAGCTGGCACTAGTAGATGCTTTTGTGGAGTTCTTACAGCTACATATTGCCTACTATTGAAGCTCGCTTAGTCGACCTTGAGCTTGGCGACGCTCCGGAGAAGGGGAGTCAGCTCCGAAGCTCCCTCAGACGACAGCTCTGTAAGCTCGATGCCCTCCACGGCCTCGGTAGAGAGCGCCGCAACTTCAGCCGCGTCAGCTAGCTCACCTACACCGGGTATCAAGTTGGCAACGACGACAGCGGGAAGCAAGGCGATGGCCAAGATGTGCGACTCCATAAAGTGGCCAACCTTCTCCCAGAAGCTCGGCTCATGGGGCGGCGTCACGGCTTTGGCCGCCTTGGCCGCCTTTGAAGATTCGGCAGTAACTTGCTCAGGGGGTTCGAAAAGAGGGAACCCGCCTCTCCAGCCTACGGCCTGTCCATTGCTATCCATGAACTCCTCCAGAGACTGTGGCGAGTCGAAATCAGGAATCTTGCTGCTAGTTGTAAACTGGTCGAACTTGTGCTCGTAATCGTCGTTTTTTTGGAACAAGTTGCGATCCGGGAAGAGCTCGTTCTTGGCTTTGAACGCCTCCTCAAAGTGCTGCTGTATTTTTGCTGGCTGCTGGGGATCGTGCTCAGGCAGTGTATAGTTGAGCGGTACCTGAACCCAGCCCAGGACCTGTGACCACCGTATGCCGCCGACTGCGATGCTATCCAGGCCCGAGACGAGCATGTTTGGCGTAGCATGAACAGCATAGACGACACCGTGGAAGCCATCTGTCGCCTTGGAAGCCTACCCTGCCGCGTCCTTGGCCGCTGATCCAAAATAAGGTGAGTCTGGAGAACTTCGCTCGGCCAGTCGACTACCACGGCGGGATCCGGCGTCGGCCTTCCTTCAAGTTCATATGTCGGACCGGGCGGACGGGTGCGTGGAGGGAGAAATCCTCCTGCTTTCTTGGCCTCTGTCGGCCACAGAAAGTCGCCATAGAAGACAATCTTGGCCGGAGCCCGAGGTGCCTTGCCCTTGGGCCCCTTGCTGCGGCTTTTGGAGGTGACCATCTTGCGGGCTCGTTCGCAATCCCGCTGGGTCCCCGAGGGAGAAGCTGGGATGAGAGTCAGTAGTTGCATACATTTTATTCGATGGCGCCAAGTGGTGCTGTAAAGTTATGAAAGCACAGTCAATTTTTTGCATACCTCCGGCCGAACTATTGTCTCCATCTCCCGGACCAAATACGTTTTCTTGCAGTTTCTTGACAATGGCTGCACAGTTAAGCCCATCAAATTTGCCCTCTCTCAGACGCTTTAATTCGTCAAGTGATATGCCGGCAGTCTGGGCAGTAGCCGAGTTTTTACGATTCTGGCGCGTCTGTTCGATGACTACTCCGCGGATTTTGTAGAGACTCTGGCAGCAAATATTCTTGGATTGTCCTACACAACTGTCAGTCTTATTGCGGCTGCTTCTAGCAAAGTGCAAACTTTCATACCGGCGCGAGCTCTTAGTTGCGTACGGGGACGCTTGGGAGGGAAGCAAGTGTCTCTGTCAAGGTTATCCAAGAGCTCTTGGAGCATCTCGTCATAGTCGGGGTAGAGTTGTCGTATTTGCTCCGGGGTCAAATCTGCAAAGCGCTCCAAGTCTCTCATGACTATTTCGGTGGTTGTTAGCATCATCGGCCTTGCAAGTCCGCAAAGTATTGCTTTGTCCGTCAAAGGTCTCGCACTGCGTCATCTCGGCAGCTGCGCATGGGGAAGGGCAATTCTTACCTGCATCACGAATAACGTCCTCTTCAGATGATGGCGCGGCTCCTGTCCCAGATGGTCCGGGGATGTCGTCTCGAGGAGGTTATTGCGTGAAAGTTGGCGGAAAGCGGCCGAAGAGAGCTTGCATTGTCGGACCGCTTAAATGAGTCGCAGCTGAGCGGTAACGAGGGTACAGGTCATTGCCCTCTCCATCGGACTCGTCGCTATCCGTGTTTTCTCTTGTTACGTCCAGCGAGTCCATCTCATCCTCGCTCCAATCATCGTCAAGGTCCGGGGGAACTTCGTTCTCAACGACACATCTCGCAGCATATTGAGAGTTCTCGTATAGATCCCTATCGTACTCGGGATTGTCTATCCATTGTATCTGTGCGACTCTGCCGCCTTCTGCAGTGCTCATAAGTCCGAATCTTCGAATCTGTCTCCAATGAACGCCGCCCAGCGCCAGAACTTCAGACTCTGCAAGGCCGGGATTGATCATGTTGGGCGTAGCACGAATCTCGAAAAGCCAAGTGTTCTTATTTAGATGCTCATGGGTGTAGGTTTCTGCTGTGGCCCTCTCCCGAGCCAACGACACATACGCAGATTGGAAAGGCCTGGCGGACAGATCTCGTGATAAGCCACAGCCGCCGGGACCGGCATGGTAATGACGATCCATGAGAAACGCTGCTTCATTACGGTGCCAGTTCTCGCCCCAAGGCCGAAATCCACCACCCGCTCTGATCTCTCGAGGGGACCTGGTATCTGCACGCCAGACGAACTCGCCAGGGGGATCAGGCTATCGACGAGCAGGTGATGACTCTGGCAAGACGCCGCCATTGCAGAGTCCAAGCCAAGAGAGCCATAAAGGCGCGGCAGAAAGAGCAACGTTTGCCCACCGCATCCTCAGGTGTAAGAGTAAAGATATTTAACGGATGTATCCAAACTTGATTGTGAAAACACTGCGAGAAATGAGAGTAGTGCAATGGTAGACATGATGAAGGCCAAAAGGGGGCGTATATATACGTCAGGTATATCCTAGGAAGCCAAGGGCAAACGTGTTAAATCGGCTCGACATCAAGCATTGGTGGCATAAGCCATAGAGCGCATCAATTTGACACGCCACATGTGTGATTGGTGCTCCACGGGCCGATGTTTTCATTGTCTAATTTACGTACGATGGCTGCTGGAGTACAAGGGCCATGATCGGACAAGCCAGGAACTGTGACAGGGATAGCATACGGATTACGCACGGGAAATTTCCACTCTCAGCTCGATAGAGTAAGCTTAAAATCATGCGATAGGATATTAGTATAGCATTAACACAAGATTATCCTTGCTATATGTAACTGGATTCGCAAAGCTCTATCTATACCAGTTGCAGTATTTCCTAGTTGTATTTTTGCGTTGGACATGCAAAACGCTATCCTGCCAAACATCATGCAAGAACCAAGGGAAAGAGCTGATAGATTATGTATACGTCATCATGTATGTGGTAGTTTCCTTGTGCTTGCACCGAAAGACATAATGTCCTCCCAGAGCTACATTTGTGTGTACTGCATACGCCGCGTGGCTACTGTGAAAGGAGTGCGTACTGCACTCACAACCATTGACGACATTTTCCAGGAGAGCTTAAGAATTAAGTCACACAAAGCTTCTTTAGGAAGCGTACGCAGCAAGGCGAACCAACCATGCCTGTATGCACATAGGCCCAAGCCATGGTGGCCACGTCACTATAGAAGATCCCATCCTAGCTTTTCGAATCAGGCAATGTGGCTTTGTGCATGCGTCGCTGCTCCATCTAAGACATTTGAAATGATAATTACGTGTTTGATTCCTCGAATCATCTAAATATATAGTAGAAAATGGAAGGAGCATAATACCAAAGCTTCGAACAACCTTGGACTGGCCCCTCAGCCCAAGTCCATGCGCCATCAACACGCCCAAGTGTGAAGACCCCCCATCGGCTCCTATTCATATCCGGTCTTTTGACCCTCTTTTACGGAGTAGCACTATGCTTTTTGACCGAGTGGCGTGCTGCCAAATATCAGCCCTATGCTTCGGGGCCGGCCTCGAAATCGTGTACCAAACCGAGTAAGCAAGCCATCTGTGGATCCTCCGAGCCCAAAATGAGTCGCGACAACGTGGGCTATAAGTGCATTCCTTGCTTGATGTTAAAATGGATGGGCCGGGGGGTTACCGACTTTTATCGCCGAGGAAACTGGGATCACAACCTTGGCCCCCTTTCCCTAGTCGATATCATTAACGCAGGCAATTATGCCCATCATGCATTGCCTCCCTGTAGGCAAGCAAACTATATCGAGTCCTTTTCTCATGACCTCGATAGCTGCAAAGTAAGGGTTAGACCTAAAGGTCGCACAAACGGAACTTTTTCCCAGTTGCCAGGGATTATGAGACAAGTGCATCAAAAAGCTACTTGAATGGAGTGAAAATAACGAGTAAAGGCTTCGTATCTTTAGCCACAGAATGTGGGTAAACGGATATTGAAATGCCAAGAGTATTGATATTGTGCTACATCACTTGGCACGCCTTAAGAGCCCCTTGGGACGCTGCTAAACCTCAGACTGAGTAACTCAAACTCAACCAGGGCTCTGTCACCGTGATCTATGAGACAAATACCTCTAATATTGGACTATCCCACAAGTTGAAGGGGCCTATGGACTCTTGCCAAGATCAAAATAAATCTTCACGGCGAAAGATCTCAAGCATAGTGTGGAAAGCGGCATCGATGCTCCTGAAATGTAATATCTAGGAAGATGGAAAAGTATAAAGCGATAACGGGAATTATTATCAACGCGGAAACTATTCGTATTCATTCATCTACCATGCCTACTACCGAAAGGTCCAGAAATACGAGCAAGAGGCGGAGCAGCCGAATCGGCGCAGGGATCCCAGGCAGCCGAGGCTACCAGACAGGAAGAATTCTACCCGCTCGTGGCCCTGGAAAAGCTTCAGAGCTAGAAGGCAGCCATTATAAAGCCCGAGGATGTCAATGGCTGGCTTGAATACCTGCGGTCTGTCCTGTCACAATCAAGCGCCTGTTGGGGACTACGCGGAATGTCGGCCCCAAACCCATAAACCCATGGAGACCCGTCTGGATGGCCAGGATATCCATGCCCAGCAGAAGCTAACGCATGGGATACGCCGAACTGCGCAACCTGGCACATGAATCATGGTTCTCGGACCATGCAAAGCTTGGCGACGGACAATAATTCCAACGTCATTCCGACTCATTCGTGACAGGGCGAGTGCCAAGCTATCAGACACCAATCGTGAGAGGCTAGTCCATGGCCCCTGAGGCGACAGATCGACACTGGATGTGAAAAACAGTGAGGCATTTTGTCAGGATCTATAGCCGTATCATACGAGTTCTGGCACACGTCATGGTGAAATTGCCGAAACCACCTGAATCACCATATCTACACAAGGCTGCGGGTGTGTCCTGTAAAGAAATGATTGCTTAGCTTAGCACAGCACAGAATTGATGTCCAGTATACATTTTTCAATGCCTCAAGTATCTCCTTGTCCGAACTGTGTATCCCCAACGTACGACAGTGTGTCAGTTAGTGGCACCCGCAACACAAAGGCCAAGCGCCCGGCTCGCTGCTTTATCACATTTTCCATACACTCTCTCTCCTCTTTGAAATCTCTCCCCGGCCTGATTACATGTATTGACAGACCAAGTCGGGTCATCGGGATTTCCGTGAAAATGATCGTTTTTGCAAGGCTAGTCAGAATAAGCCGTCAGACATTGTGTGACAAGGTCTAATTGTCCAATTCTATTCAGAATTAAAACTAAATAACTCATCCATCTATTTTCACAATTCGATTTCGTTATGAATCGTTTTGCTCATGTGTGCTAAGCATGTCAAAAGCCAAAAGAATACACATATAAACTGGATTTAGTGGGGTATTTGGCCAAGGGCCGATATTGCTGCATCTTTTTGTTCTGTGGCTCAATGGACAAACCCGGATGACTACTGTGGCAAGGGATTCTAGTTGAAGGAATGTATTGTAGCAAGTGAATGCCGCAGGCTTCTGTCTACCCATACCTCAACTAGAGATTGATGCATTCCATATTCAACTACACGCATCATTCTGTTTCGCCTTACTCACAGGGTATTATGACACGTCTCCGAATTCGGTTTTCATACCTGAGACTTGAATGGGGCTCGATTGAGCTGTTGAAGCACTTGATGACCAGACTCGTTGTTACACGGTCAAAGCTCAACGACAACAACGCCCAATAAAGGGGCATCACCGATCCAGGACCTACGAGGTTACGCAGACTGAACACATGACCCGCTGGGAGCCTTAGGTACAGCTGTTCCTTTCATGTATATATAGTGGTCACCAGTCCCTTCGTTTCTCTTGAAAGTCAAGGACCTTTGACATCCTACAAGATTATCTTTGAATAAAGATATTACGCTCTAAGCTCTTGATATCAAACCCTTGTCACACTCGTTGCTTATATGGGTTCCTTCTCAACTTGTATAAGAGCATTTCAATGCCTATACCAACTGAATTGCATGTAATAAGAAAGGAATAGCACATGTCAGTGTCTAGTCAATTGGAATGATATCGACGCACGTGCATTGGAAGCCCGAGTTCTCATTTCACTAACACCAGTTGACACTAGTTACCCGAAGCTATAACAATGCACTCATCCGCTTCAATGTCGCCGATAGCGAGTGCTATACATTTAGACTTAAAACTGTACCAAATGAGGGATATAATTTGCGTGTCCAGGACATATATCCGCAAAGCATCCAATGCGCTTAGCAGTCGATAGTAACGTATGGAAAATACTTGTAGCTCAATGTTCCCCGTGACAATTTTCTACACTCCGAGATGATAGCCATGCCATTATTCATCGTATGACGGCAGCATAGATCTGCAGGGCACCAGTTGAGCGCAGCATTGTCGTTGTTTCCGCTGCAATAAAGAAAATGAAGCCGCTCTTAACAACAAGCTCTTTTCCATCTCCCAGAATGGTGCCTTCACCAGAAACCGCGATAGCCACAGTTGGTCCCTTGTGCTTCCAAACTAATTCCCCCTCCCCAGCCAGCATGTCAATTCTAAGCAAGTCAAATTCATCAATATGCGGCTGATAAACCAGAGTATGCCTACCGGCACCGGCATCGCTTGGCTTTGCTGGCAACCTTAGGTTATCCACTCGAGTACTCGAATCAATTCGAAGAGTGTCGGAGAAGAGATCGATGCTGTCGCGGTCGGCAACAGGGCAGAGTCCGCCGCTAAGCATGTTGTTGGAACGAGCCATGCACTCTACAATATCCCCGGACAGGTAACAATGGACACCGTCGGCCGGGATAAAGACTGCTTCGCCGGGCTCCAAAACAAGATAGTTCATGCATAGAATCGCTACCAATAAGCCAGGATCTGTGGCAGAATATTGGGATTGTAATCGCTGAATCAACTCAAACATGGAGCTTGGGTAGCCGAGCTTCTGGACGATGTCTTCTCGGGACTGCAACTTCAGATCTTCTTCAATATTTTGAACAGTTTGCTCGTCTGCCTTTAATATATACCGGACAATATCCCTTAATGTTTCAGCATGCCAAGCATCTGTTCCCGAAGGGATAAAGCGCCGCAGGCTTGGCATATTGAACAAGGCAGAGATCTGGTTCACGTCCCTCCAGCCAGCAAAGAGTTCGAATCGCGAAAGGGCGACCGCGATCTCTGGCTTGTGGTTGGAGTCGGAAAACTTCTCGGGGTTTTGCTTGTGTAGTTGAGCCGCAAGTACTTTATTTGGGTGGATTTGCAACGGCAGGGCTTTGCCTATCGAGAGGATCTGCCAGGATTAGCTTTGAAAAAACCAGTGTTCATACGGGGGCCATATTTACAACACACCTTTGGAAGAAATGGCAGATGGTCTCCAAACTTATCCGTCGAGTATGAGCCAAGCAGTGTTTCTTTATGGGATTTTAGTAGCTCGGCAAGTGTTTGGCCAGTTTCCAAGTCTCTAGCTGGAAAGTCCGGATAATCGCCAAACCACATTTCAGAGTAATACTGATTGTTGTCTATAGTGAATCCGGTTCCGGGTGTCTTTTCACAGAGCCTAGCGGCGAGCGACTCACGTCCCCTTTTCCCCCACGGGTAGTTGTTGCATGTTCCGCTTAATTGAAATAAGCGTGCCACAGTTGCCATGGTGACTTTTTCGCCTTGGTCAGGCGTCATCTTTACAATAATGGTTGACAAAGACAGCCGGAACACGAGGAGAGAACGAGTCTCATGTAAATTTGAAATGTTTCGACTTGTATATTCAATAATCTGAGGAATGCAGCGGAAACAGTAGGATATAAACTATGACGCAATATGATCCATAGCTACCACGTCCTTGTAACGCCGCACATCATGATGACCTCACCACTAGACACTCGGCAAGACCACGATGCAGCAGCAAGAAGCAGCAGACTGTGCGATTTTCAGGACATTCCAATATTATATACGTTTAAAGAAAGACAGAACCAAGTCGTCTCCTCGACTTCAGTTTCGGGGGCTTTCTGCCTCATCCGGTGTGAAGGCGAGATGGCCTGTGTACTAGTCAGAGGTGATGATACTCGTGACGTCAGTCTTTGGTCAAACAATCTGACCACGATGCGGTGACGTTGAATTTCGCTCCAGGGGTGATTGAGAAGCCGGGTATTTCTTCAGTTGTACTTTATTTGGGGGCTAATGCCACAAGTCTAGCAGACCTGCAACTCTCCGAAAATCACCTACTGAGGTTCGACGCAGAATATCAACTGTATTAACTGCTCAAAAACCTTCAATTTCAATAATGCAGTCTGCCCTTCACCAAGTTGTCGGACCAAAAGAGGTCCATCCAGAGAACCTTGACGGTCGCGTTGCTGTTGTCACTGGAGGAGCTTTGGGAATTGGATACGAGGTCAGTCGTGCGCTTGCACATGCAGGCTGCAAAGTCATTATGGTCAACCGGAGCGAGGATCAAGGCCAAGAAGCCATCGCGGACATAAAGAAGGACATGCCCAAAGCGGATATTTCATGGAAAGAATGCGACTTGGGGAATCTTTCTCAAGTGAGAACCGTCTTTACGGAGCTCCGCGAGACTCTTGAACGCCTAGACTATCTCGTCCTGTCCGCAGGTATCAACGCGAACCAGTACGGCTTAGATAGCGACGGAATCGAACGCATTTTTGCCGTCAACTATCTTGGGCAGTACTATGCGACCAACCAACTTTGGCCCAGGCTCCGAAAGACCAGCTCGATGCCAGGGGTTACAGGATCCCGTGTAGTTGCCGTGTCTAGCAAACTGCATCAGCAAGCGCCGACGGAGATTAAGTTTAGTTCACTGAGAGATATCAACAACCCCAATCTCAGCCCGGTAGAGTTATATGGCAGAAGCAAGTTGGCGCTTATCCTGTTTGTCCGATTTGGGTTGCTGGAACGAGTCATTAAGCCGGCAAAGGACTCGATATACGCGCTGGCCGTTCACCCAGGAGCTGTAAGCACTTTCATGAGCTGAAGTTGTCACAAATACATTTTAACCATTCTGAAATCGCGAGCTAACGCTCCAGGGGCAGGTCAACACCGCCATGCAGGAACAATGGAAGGATGCCTATCCCGGAGTTACAGGGCAGATACTTTCATATGCTATGAAGGCTATAAGCCGAGATCCCGAGCAAGGTTCCTACAGCACGCTTTGGGCCTTATCATCTTCGGAAATCGAAGAAAAGCGCCAAAATGGGGCCTACTTTTCGGATCCTGGGAAGGTTGGTGATGAAAGCCCCCAGGCATCTGATGCTAAATTGGGGACTGAGCTTTGGCAGCTTAGTGAAAATCTTGTACGAGAGAAATTAGGCGAGAGTGCCCTCGTCTCATGGGAATCGAGTGGCGTAGATTGAGTTGGACACTAAACACGGAACATTCTATAGCTTATAGCTGTGGCCACCAGTGGTCAAACAGTCTTGAATACCTGACCGAACATGACCAAGTACGAGGGCCGCATAATCATCGCCAAATTTTACTAGTAAATTTGCAAATGAGACTAGAATTGTACGCAAATAAATGGAAAATGGACGCAACGAAATGATCCAGGTTGGTCATTGAACAATCCCTTGTATAAGGCTCAAAAGTGGAAGCATGCGGACTTTTCCCCCTCTTTGGCTCAGCTTGTCTTGACCTGGGAAGACATTATCAACAATCTTTAGTCAGAATCCAGTCAAACAGGATACTACATCAGAGCACATCCTCTGGTCATTGAGTAATTGGACCGAGCTGAGCTGATACGACGAACACTTTCACAGACGGAAGCATGGGTTGCATTCACCGATGTTGACCACCATGTACAAGTCAGAGAATGTGACTTGAGATGATAAATGATGGGAAGGAAGTAAGTAGATCGGAATTCTGATATTTAACGGTTACATATGCTCTGCTACACGGAAGTCAGGTAGCTTGCAGCAGGGACCGGCCCTCGAACCTGACGATAGTTACCAGACCAAGGGCTCGAGACCTAGCTGAAGCCTAAGGCTCCCAAGCTCAAAAGCTCATCGCTTCCTTGTTTAAATAAAAGTCATCTGTCCAAAGGGCCTGTGGGAAGGACTTTTTATTATTATCTGAACAGAACTACTGTTCCAAGCCCTTGTCACATACTCGCAGGCATTTTACACAGTCGAAAAACAAAAACGCGTGAAGTTCATTAATTCATTGAGATAAGACTACACTTGCTACAGAAATCCATATCATATACGTCCAACAATCTCCTTGCGATTGTGATTGCGATTGCCGTTCATCAGGCTCCGTTGGATACTCCCCAGTGACATGAAGAAATGAAGTAGTTGCAACATTGACATCAACGAGGTTTGACTATATATGTCCAATATTAAAGCAACAGCTATGTAACATGTGCGAAACCAGCCTGCCTGAGGGCTTGTTGTGTTACTGTCATTTGATCTCTCAACTGTACAAATGGCGAGAACAGCCCGTGTTCGGGACAGTCTGTCGTCGTTTGCATCATTGAATTTGTTCCTTGACGTTTTTTGATGTCAGAAATAAAATCTTCACCACCGATTCTAGAGGTAGAATCGTATTGAAGACGTTGATCGTACGGTCGGCAGATTTCAATGCATTCTTGGAGGGAAATGTCTCCCACCTCGACTTCTATATCGACTTTCCACGCTTGAGTAAGGTAGGACAGTATGCTCAAGGCTTTCCTGGCAAAAGGGTGACATTGTGCCATTTCTTCGAGGGCCGTGACATCTTCTTTCAGATCTCCCAAAGCCGAGAAGCCCGTTCGTTTTGCAGACTCGGGGCCCTCCCGCTCGGCAGTAATAGGACTAGCGTAGGTGATACTGATATTGCTGGCGAGGTGCACAATAGCGGCCGTTAGCACAAAATATGGCACAAAAGAGGGCGTCCTTTGTAGTGTGTATAGTCTGGCATACGACTTGACCAGAGAGCCAATTGCGTCTGCGGCCTCGGCACAAATATTTCGCGGTAACAACGCGGTTCCGAGAATTTCTAGTCCCTTGAAAGGCCAAAATAGTAATATGATAGTGAAATGATAGTACATGCTATCAAAGTTAGTAGAGAATGGAGGCCTGGGTGGATGGATTTGCAGGCAGACATACTGAACAAAGAGCACGTATGGAGTGTAATTCCGGCCGAGCCGCAAAGTCTCTGGTAGTTTGTCGTACCAGACCAAATATTTTGTGTACAGCCGTAGCATATTCTCCGCGGTTAAAGATCCCGCAGGGCTGTGTACAAGATACAGGCATTCGTGAGCGAGTTCGCTTAGCTGACAGAATAACATGAAGACTGATCGCTCATTCGATGCCTGCTGGCACGGCAGAGTCAAGGGTACCCCTATCGACACAAGTTATCATTCTACCTTTCCGCTCTCCGAGTTGGAAACCAAGAACCCACCATTATCTGTATAAGGAATCCAAGGGTGCTGCTCTATTATTTCTACGATGGGAGGCTTAGGCGGCAGCGATGGCATATACGACGTCATTGGCAACGAGCCAGCAAAGGACAGAGCACTAGATAGGGTTATTAGTATCCCATGGTATCGTCACTCCTGGATTAGCTGATGTTTGACCAACTTATCTAGTGTGAAAGCACCCCAAAGAGTGGCCAATCTAACAGTACGATGCTCTTGGTCCTCGTCCTCCTGTGAGTCGGGATCATGGTCCCGATGAAGGCCCATCTCAATAGCCAACCGCATACATTGGCCGGAATAATACTCGCTCATGGAGATTCGACCGCAGCTCGCTTCTCGAATGGACATTATTCCCAATGCCTGGACCGTGGTTATTGAATGATGATCTGCCTCGCCAAGGTACAGTCTTTGACACTCTCTAAAGAAATGTTCACCCGAGGTAACACAATCGCTAGAATCCCCCCCGACTGCATGCTGATCAGAAAAGCGGCAGCCTAAAGAAAGCAAGGCATTCGTGAGCAATGAAGAGCAATACCTTTTTCGCCCGTCATGGAAATCTCTGAGATAGTGCTCCTTGCTCAGTGATGCAAATGTGGGATATTCCCAACAAAAGTACAATGCCAGCAAATGCTGTATTAGATCTGTATCGCTGGTAACCGTCATCCATGACGCAGTAAGTTCCGTCGTTGGTTCTCCCAACGGCCACAAAACAGAATTGCGTTCACGGGACGAATGCACGCCTTGAGCGGTAGTCTGACGCATCACATTCGGCACTGAAATTACGCCTGCAGGGCTTGACATCGCTGCAGCATGTCTCTCCCAATTGCGTGCTTGAACATTCCTCGCATTATAATCATGTGTTTCATTCTGCAAGTCAAAAGACTGGCGCTCTTGGAGCCCGAGGCCGCTCAGCTGGTTGTCCACGTTGCTGTTGTTTATTACCTCGTATATGGTTTGGACTGAATCTCCCGCCCATAGACGCGTCAAAATATTGTTGGAGAGTTCCGGATGGGCCAACGCTGAGATTACACGACTACTTGTATCCAGACGTTGGCGCAACTGCTCAATTTCCGTTCGAAGTTCATCTTTTGACTGCCGCAATGGAGCCTCGTATATACACTCAACGGCAGAAGACTTGCAGCGACTGCATGGGTTCTGCCCATCACACTAGCGGTTGTGTTGTTAGTCAAGGTTGTACTTTTTCAAAAGTTACTCTAGCATGGACCTTTATGATCAAGTTCATTTGCCTACCTTTGCCCGCTTCAATCGGCATTCTGTACAAGCGTTGGGTGTCACGATGCCACGACCGCGCCTACGCCTAGGATTCTCCGATTGGCTTCCAGGAGTGTTCCCTGTGGACTTGTCGTAGCTGCTTCTAGCACCCGTTGTGAGAGACTCGGTACCATCTTCCTCCATGGGAGCAGGTAGCCAAAACAATATGGGTAGTCTGGGTGACGAGTGGTTATTCTTGGGCCGAGTTGTCCTAGATTGATAATGCCGTGGTGGACTTGGAGAATACCCTTCCCACCAACATGGAAGTTATGGAGACGGGCTGAGCTTTTGTTGGCCCGGCTAGTTTTGCTATGATCTCATCGTGACGGGTGAGCCACGACAATCCTTGGCTGTGGCAATAGGAATTGCGGGTCAAGTCTACCACACAAAAGCCCCTTTCAGCGCTTCAAATCTTTTCTGATAGATAATTTTAGCTCTCTGTAGTCGAGCATGTGCATTTAGTGCTAGTTACTATGTCATGGCCAAAGGAGGCCAAAGCCATCAATACTTACACACATGAGTAACCGCGCCGGTACATGGCCTGATCAACATGATGCGAGGTGCGAAAAGGGCGTAGGAGAGGGCTTGGAGTCTCCGGTATCAAAAGCCCTTGGTTTCTTCCAGAACCCTTGGGGCAGAAGACCGGCCTCGTGTTCTAAGGTGTCGTCATCGTAGCCCTTGTGTAACACCGTAGCCCTTGTGTAACACCCGTGTGGCACGAGATCTCAGTGTGTATCGTGGTGTCGATTGCGAATGAGGATTCTCCGACTCCTCCGATCCATCATTACAAGTCACAGACGGGCACACTTGCGTTCGCTGGCAGTTGTATCCTACGCAACTGAGTTGGAGGCACGTACCGCTGAGCCGTACGGTGAGCTAATGCTGCATGGCCTTTCATTCTACATATTTTCCTGTACTTGTGCTTTTCCGTAACATCGTCGTACGACTGGAATCATTCTTTTTATTCCCTCCTTGTTCTTTTTTTTTGACGCCTTGACGTCGCTTGTGTCTGAGGAACCTCCCCCAAATTGACAACTCTTGAAATTCTAGTAGTTTTGTCTTCATCCGGCCGGACCTGGTACTATCACTCGTAACAACGATACAGTCCCCAGATGCCAAGCAAGTACTGCAATATTCATTAGCAGAAACCTTTTTAAACAACTAGGCTAAGTGTGGTATGCAACTTTCCCATAGTGAAGTTGCCAAGGCGAGGGATGTGAAGGCTAAATGAGTACATTTATTGCGCGCTGTAACTCGACAAACCTACGATACTACTACCCTAACTCTAAGTGTTAAGTAGGAGTTATATGTAAAGTAAAATTATCAAGTATAGTATCAATTAGCTCTGTAAATAATTGCATAGTACACGCCAAGGACGACAGAATCATTAACTTGAGAAGTGTTCTATGCGGGGGTACTTAAATCAAAAGAAAAGCTGTTCATGAAATGCTTTAGGTCCATTTCCAGTTTGAGTAATAAGGGTAGAATTGGTCTAGGGGAATGCAGAGTTGTGATGCAGGTGGACCTGATCTCACTTGCGTCTAGGGGATTGATAACACCATATACCTCTTGCAACGCCATTTTTCGCGCAACACATAAATACTACGGCGGAGAAGGGATATAGTGAACCAGATGAAAAATTCATGTGTATTGTAATAGATGATGCGCCGTCAGCCCATCTGGACCGCAATGCGATGGGAATAATGCCCGCCTTACACCATTGGATTTGCTGCCACTGGTCGCGGCCTGCCATTTTGATTATAAATGATGTCATTCAACGCAGGTTTACCGTTAGCTAACGTCAGACTACATGCATATTGACCGCTTGACGCTCATAGGCTGCGTCCCCTTGAACCATGGCGTCAGCACCTTGGCTGTTTGGTAAAGAGGTGGCAGACAGCATGAAACATGCGCTTGCAACATAGTCCATGATGACAATACTGCGTCATTGTAATTCACAGCCGACAAGTACATACGTAGGCTGGATAAATAATTGGTATGCCTGCCGGGTTTTCCCCCTTTTAAAAAAAACAAGGCGAAAAAAATTGAGTAATTAAACAAATAAGAATAAAAGGAAAGACGTCACCTTTTCTCGAGGCCTCCGACCAACAGGCAAAGCGCAATTGCTCCGGCCGCACATCTATCAGCAAATCACCAAAAAATGGAGTCAACGCCATTGACGAACGAGGCCTGCGGTCATCCCACGTCCAAGAAAGAGACGGTTCTTTTGGGAGCAGCATCAATCACTCAGGTAGGTATCCATTCCGCAGTTATCCGAACGTGGCTAACTTTAACCCAAGGACTTCAAGCCGCTTAAAAATATCTGTGCTCATCTGAATGCCTTCCACGCCTACGCAGATGATCCCAGTCGATCGGTTGAAGCAGATCACTTCTGCAGCCAGATCAGTAGGCTGTAACAATATTACCACCCCATGAGAGCTCGTTATTGACGATTTGGACTTTTAGACAGTGATGTTCGGCAGTGTCTCCTGTACGACTCCCCCGATAGCAACGCAAAGCTTATCGGCATAGAGTATATGATCACACCGCGTCTCTTTGCGTCCTTACCACCCGATGAGCGTTGCCTGTGGCATTCGCACGTCTACGAAGTCAAGTCTGGCATGCTAGTCATGCCAAATCGCCTAGTGCCACAGACGGCGTGGGATACGGCAGAAAACAAGGAGATGGAGGAGATTATTACTTTATATGGGAAAACATATCATCTGTGGCAAACGGATAGAGGGGACAAGTTGCCACTTGGGGAACCAAAGTTGATGACTAGTTATACGTGTGATGGGCAGCTGGACTTTGCCAAGGTGGAAGAGAGAGATAAAAGACTCGGAACTAACTACAGAGAGAAGAAGGACAAAAGACGGGAAATTCCTATCCCTGAAATACACAAAGGCAAGTTCACGTCTGTAAAGCTTGCAAATTCGGTATAATATCGTTGCTGACTAGCGGGTGGCAGATGCTGATTCCTCATGGTCCAAGTCATAGCTTCTAAAGGCAATTCGCTATCGAAAACTAAGCGCAGAGGAGCATGAGTAGTTACTGATGCTCAATATCACACACATGGTTTTCATTCGATTCAATGAATATTACTTTTTAAGTTTCTCAAGACATTTTACTGTTATTTTTTATGGGTTGACTAAACAGGTCTTTAATTGGTTAACTTAAAAAGTAATACTAAAATAATACTAGTTAAAGAACTATTTCTTGTCCTCGACAAAACAACGACGGTGCGTGAATATATCTAGTAAGACCGCCCCAGCCGATACCGGGTTTCTGTGGTCGGAAGTTTCACAATTCAGCCATCGTGGCGTTTACTAATGTCAAACCGCCCTTTTCCTACGGTATGTAAACGCCAACCAGGATCCTGTAGGAAGACGAAACTCCCAACCCCCCCCAGGTCAACGGTTGAACCAGCCTCCTGCTTCCTCGTGCAGCATCTACATATGTAGAATATGCGAGCCACAGAAACTTTTGACTATGGCATAAGATTCATCTTAGGCTTTTTAGCTAGACTAATCATGTGACTGAGTCAATACTCAGTTATTAAGCTGCTGGGCGCATATTGTTGATATTCGCGTCATTTGGGAGTACAACACTTGTTGCCGAAATGTCGACCTGCAGATTTCAAGTATCTGCTTCTACATAGAGCATTTGATCGTCGTGCCGTGTCCAATACAATAAATAGCGGCATTGCCACTCTGGCCAGGGGACCAGCTAGCGACCTGAGCACATGGCGACTGATGATTCGTAGACCATCCGTATAAGTTACGAAACATATTTCCACCTCTGCCGGCTACCTGTCAAGATGGCCAGATCATCCAACTTTAGTGGTTGGTTCTACGAAATTATACCGTCCTGTCTCAGATTGCTCCGAGACAGGGCTGTCAGAGGGGAGCTGGACACAAGTGTGCTGTACAACCAATTGCGCAGTACAAGCATCATGCCTGGAGATGGATGGAGTTATGCAGGACAGCATTATCAAGTCGAGTCTTGGGAAGCTGATTTGCCGCGTCAGAATTCACACCACCGTTAGGCAAAAGCTATAAACTGATATTCTATTGGTAACACACCGAAAATGACGTAACATCTGGTTAGTCCCTAAACACCAAATTCTCTACGCATACACTCCGTGTCATTGCTTAGCCGGCACCCGCTAGACAGCATGGATATCTGGATGAGAGATATTGCGCCGGTAATTGTTATTAAGGAGGGTCCTGGAAACGGTACACTCGCCGGTCTTGACTATAACTTCAACGGCTGGGGCGGCAAATATCCTACGCCGACTACCCGCGAGCTAGCTCGCAAAATTCTCATGGACTTGGGAATCGAACGTATCGAGACATCGATGGCAACGGCGCCGCTAGCCTGCTGGTAGCGGTGCCATACCAGTAGCTGAGCCACTGAGGCTACTGGTCAACTGGCCCAAGTTGGGTCAATTACATGTACCGCTACTGGTAGCTATGTGCTCCTAACTTAGTGGTAACTTCGCCTGCCTTATTGCCCTAATACACGAGGTGCTCACAGGTGTAGTCCGGTTGCTGGTAATCTTAGTAGCGTGCCTAACTATCACCAAACATTGAATATGTAGGCTAGAGCCGTTTAGTGCTACTAGTAGAGTCCTACTATAGCTAGGCAGTTGAATGTATTGACACCAGACGTTTTTATAACAGTTAGGCTTGTAAGCTTATGCCCACTGCCCAATTAATAATGCCTTTAATATATTGGTATTTGTCTTATTACGATGAGATAATTTGTGCAGGGAAAAACCACACACAAGACAAAGGATTATAAAAGACGGTAAATATATCGTAAAATATCAGTCAAAAATATCAGTGAACACAACCGGTACAAGGGCCAAGAAGGTTGTTGTTCTATTTTTCTAGGAAGGCTCTAAAAAGCTAGTTATATAATTGTGTGGCACGTGACTAGAGGCCACGTTGCTAGCTAAATCGAGCTGCGATGTGCAGCTGAATTCCTCCACACAACGTCTATCAAGTACGAATTGAAGTGAGTTGCCGGATAGACAGGATAGATAGATTCTTGCATTTCCGCATTCCCCCCTTTAGCATTGTCATTTCTTTGTCCTTAAAGTTAGCGGTCCTAGAGGGGCGTGTAAAATGTAACAGAATGTCTAATTCTATTACATTTTAAACTAATACGTGTCGCCGCTATGCATTTTCTACCTATCTCTCCTTTAGATCTTTAATATTATATAATTCCTTATAATCTGATTCTTATTGCATTTTATTAGCGACCTTTACACTACTTTATCTCCTTTCCTATTCGCGATATAAGGCTACCAAATAATATATATAATAATACACTACGTTAGCCTCTATTACTACCAGAGCATTAACAAGAAAACTACATTTTCAATTTTCAAAAAAGCTTAAATAATTAATAATAAATCTAATAAAATACTTGAATTATAACAATAAATACATAAATTAACTAATATTATAACCAATTAGCTCACATAAAAAAGTGGGTCCTTCTAGCTTATTATAAGCTTAAAAACTAGATTATATAATTTTCTAAAAATTATAATTCTATAAGTATTTTATTAGATTTAATATAATTTTTTATATTTGAAACTATAAAAACTATAAAACTACAAAACTACACTACAGTTAATGCTCTGATTACTACTATATTTATTTTATAGATTTATACGAATACGAGAAAGACGTTAATTACGTGTATAACGCAATATTAAAGTGCGATTTCCACGCATATCTTACCTATACGGAGATTCTAGATAAGTTTTAAACAAGTTTAGGCTTAAAATTACCTCTAAGCTAAGCAGCACGTAGCTTGGCTAAACTAGGCGACGAGCTGGATTACGAGGCCGTTTCGGCAGCGATAAAAGTGTCCTAAAAAACTGGCTGGTTTAATGTTTATCGGCAAATTAAAGGAATTATTACCGAAATCAAGCCATTAGTAATTTACCTAGTGAATACATATACACCGGTAAATAGGAGGGATTTTCTAAGCGTAAAAAAAATGAAGAACTTGCTAAAGCGCCTGGCAAAATCAGCCGGTTTTACTGTACAAAGGAGTGGAGACTGAGATAGACCGTAGCAAAAGTCGCCGGTGCATTTCCATTCATGGGTCACTAGAACAAGCATTGAGATATAATTACTAAATTTGGATGTGACAGGGACTAGGATGAGTGAGGGCAGTTGCCAGCTCAGAATCAAATGACAACTAGTACTAAAAATTATTATATGGTAAAATCTTATGTGAGGCCGAAACTTAATATAGATGTTGTAAATTTATAAATACCTTGCTTTAGAAGCAAGTTAGCATGCTGTATTACACCTTGTATATTGCCACATAACTGCCACATGCGCTCTCGATAAACTGCTTCTTAAACGACAAATATGGAAAAACGACCAGATATAAAGCCCATTGAAGTAAGACCTCTAGCAGACTAAATGCTTTACCAAACAACATAAGACTAAATTTCTATAGTGGGATCATCGTCTAAATGTATTTAGAGTGGTTAATAGCCGCTATAGCAGCCTGATAAATGTTAATTTTAATATGGAATTGTCCAAATAATCTCTATTAGCGCGGCCACCCCGTAAAGCAAATGAAACGTTCAGAAATCTGCTAAGGGCCTTAAGTGGGGAGGAGAAGAACATGGAGCAGGTTATGCAGCTGCTTTACTATCCATATGTTGGTTGGAGGCCTGAAGGAAACGCCGCGGTTTGGTATATTTTCGCGCGGGATAAACGAGAATACCTTCAAGTTGGCCTTGACACTATCCAAAGATTATTTGGGTGTCCCGGTGTCTGGGTTGCAATGAGTGGTACATACTATCTCACACTCTCTCACGCGGCTACGTCCGTGAAATAGGGTCAGTTGCATTTACTTCCATAAAAGGCCCTGCTGCTCTTAGTTGGTCAGGTTATAATATTGAGTTCATAGAAAATTTAACTCTTTACTTCGTCTTCTCACTTTAAACAATGCTTGGAGTTTTAGGTCCGGCGTTCAGGGGAGAGAATTCTTTCAGCGTGCAGGCAACCTTGGAATGTGAAATAGATGGCGACCAACTACGCCGCCTCTCTGAATTTCAACCTGCAACAACCGCTCTATCTATCAACGGGCGAGATTTATTTATTGGCGACTACCAAGCCATCATGATCCAGCAGCATAACGGCGACGAGGCTGACGAGCCTGGCAGAAGCCATATTCAAGTTTTCCGAAAGCCGGTATGGGCATGTACCCACAATCTGTACCTCGATGGCCTTTGAAGCTATGCGTACGCCGGTGACCACCTAATAACTCTTAATGGGAGGGCATTAAGAATATGGGATGTCCTTAAATGGGCGTATGTTCCCCTAAGCGCTAAAGAGTTTCAATATCAGAAACCAAAGAGTGGAAAGTATGGGTTTCTCTTATAGAAACCTTCGACGGCAAGACAGTGTGGTACGATATTGATGGCAACGCAATATACGGGCCACTGGTTGAGTTGATAACGGAGTGTGACTTTTTTTTGTCCTTTGCCGTTGGACGACATCTATTTTATTCAGGGGGCCTTTGCACAGCTGTTGACCATGGGAAGGTTGTGTCATTTGATATATCCGCATCTCAGGCGCTTTGTGTCGTCACTGAGACATCATTCGCGGTCCTGGACGATTAACCTTTGCTTTACTCCATAACTGGGCAACGTCTTGAGCTGGTAAGAACTACGGGCGGCTGAGAAAACGGCCGAAGTGCTGAAATCGCCACAAGAAGGACAGTTTATGAATAGGCGCGCCCGTATATTTATTTTATCGCTTTAAAACTACTCTACCGTATCTTAGTGACACGTTAATAGCATGATATAGGTTTAATACCTTTTCACACCAAGCGATAACATGAAAAGACTCGCATGCCTTTACAGTCTCTCTTGACACATTGGCCCTCTATCTAAAGCCGAAGG